TTTCTTCAAGTTTCAAGCTATAAGTGGAGTCTCTAAGGGCAGAAATTTTGCTCCCGTGGGCATTTTTTGAAGGAAGCAAGAAACCATAATAAGTTGATAGTATAGGAAGAGTACTTAAAGAAAATGATTGTTGTCAGTCGCGCATGCGCGTCACGTCGGTTTTATGACGTCATCATTATGGCCGCGGAGATATTCTGCTTTTATTTAAATTCACCAATTTTTCTGCGTAAGTTACCAACGTTTAGGTGTTGTGACAAAAATTGACATTTAAATATTTAATAAACACATATTTGCATATTCAAAAAAAGCTTGCGCTTTCTTAAAACATTTATATGCAACTTTGTGGTTATGTCTCAATTGCACGATACTCACATGTTTAAACCTAACCTCAATAATGTTAACCTACAATATGTCCTTCAAGCGGGGGATATAAATTCCACTAATTTGCTTGTTATTATAGAAGTGTCGTCACAGTCCTTTTTCTCATAGACTTTTAAAAATGTGCTTGCACAATGGAAGTCCAAGTGAATAACAATGATACTATTCAACTTTCAGGAAGATTCGATCTACATACCTCTTCAGCTCAATGTTCACACACAATATATGCAAACTATTTAGTAATTATACTAGTTCATGGATGCAAATTCAAATGATATGTTTAAAATGTCTCTTTTACGATGTTGTTTTGTAAGTGTTACAGCTGTTGTGTTCAATATTAACTATATTTGCCAGAATGTTTGCATTGCTTTATATGTTTTTAATCAGTGTTTGTTTCACTGTTAGATAGGCTCTTAACGATGTTGTTAATTTGTTTGATAATAATAATAATAATAATAATAATTGGAGGTTCTTATATACCGCTTTATAACAACCTAGTTCGTAGGTCGTCTCAAAACAGTTCACAAATTATTATCCGTGGTTATATGGCCTTTGCAACCAGCCAATATCTTTCTCAAGCATACAGCCGGTGCTGCCATGCGGCGCTCAAAGCTAGCATTCTTCAATTCTAACACTGCCCAACAACGTACACATTTTAAGCTGCGTAGACTGGAACAACAGGAGTTAAGTATATTTCTCAAAGATACAACACAGTGCCGTGCCGTACCGTGACTCGAACCCGCAACCCTTCGGTCACGAGCCCTGCGTCCTACAGTTAGACTACCGTGCCCCGGTACCTTGCTTTTATATAGCTGGTTATGATTGTATGTATTTTAACAATGCATATTATATGTTTTAAAAATAATGAAACAAATAAGAAAACATTTTATTTTATACATCTTACCTTATATCAGGGATCAACAAGCTTATGAACAGGCTTAGGGGCGACACGTTTCTGTTGACGATGCATCTCATAAAGTAATACATGCCCGCCTTTATCCAGCGCCAGACACTGATGCTGACGCTGTTTCACCCTTCTCTCATTAACTGAGATGAGTTGTGGTTAATACACATCTATATTAAAATCTATAAATTGTATTGATTTTTTATCAGTATTCACCATTTGACATTATTTCTAAAAAAAAACGAGATAACGGTAATTGGATATGTTTTATTGCCAAAAGTTGGCAGTAGTTTCTTATATCCTCACAAACACGGGGAAGGGGATTAAAACAGGACGTATTACCTGCACGGATGGTGATGTATTTCGTCGAACATTGTGGGGAGTTATTTGTGACACGTACCGCTATAGAGGATATAAAGAGTATGTAACACATCTTATATACATATAACATAACTAATAATCTCAATCATAATAATGGTTTTAATTATTATTGATGACAAAACTGAGTCAATGACTAGTCGTGTTAAATGCGGCCAAGTAGTAAATAGGACGTACAAAAATCACAGAATGGTCATTTAGCAGAACATCCCTAGGATAAAACATGGACAGAAATGTTATATCCCTAAGAATAATTCGTTAAAAAGTGGGAAAATATTTTTTTCAAAAGACAGTAGCGAAATTTAATTCTTAATTATTGTTTATATATACATGTATTCCATACATATAGTCATTGAAAGGTAAAAAAAAACATATTTTTTTTGTGAAACACAGATTAATCCAGCTATTCTTGAATGGATATCTGTAGTGAAACCAAGGGATAGTATCAACAATATATACTATGTTCGGTAAATGACATATCATTATTGTTTAGTGTATATGATAAACGAAATTGCAAATGGTTCTCGTTATATTTAATTGAATCAAGGTCTGGATGAATTTTTTTCTTATGCTAAAGCTGTTCTTTTATAACTAAATAAAATAAATGATTTATATTTTTATTTCATTGCGTGAATTCGTTTAATTTGACATATTCAAAATCAATAAAAAATGTGCAATTTTGAAAACAAAAATCTGAAAAAATTGTAAACGCAACATTTTATGAAGTTAAAATTCTACAGCTGTTTGTACAACAACTGTAAAGTGTTGCTTTATTGCTGAGGTTACAGAAGAAAGGATAATAGATTGTTTATATCGTTCACAGAAAAATGATTTTTTCTCATTAAACGACCACCCACTACATCAAAAATACATTCGGATTCGGACCTAATGTATGTACCTACCAAACCTTTGAAAATCCGTATACTCTATATCAATGTCCTTTCAGACAATGTTTTACGAAATCAACTGTCCGAGCAGTCCATTTAAATGGACACATGAAGCTACAGATTTTGATGTCGATGTTAACAACCATGACTTGTCTACGACACCATTATACATACACTTAATCTTGGTTTCAATTTTTATTATTGAAATGCCTTGTCGTTCAATGTCTATACCTGTATATACAGGTATTTTTTTTTTATCAAATACATGTATCTATGCTAATCAGTTTCTCACACTGATGGTATAAACACGGAGAACGGTGAATGGTGTTGAATGTGTTTAATGTTAAGTCAACCCAGATAGACACACATATTCGTACGGTCTACTGATTGTGTGTGAGCCGTCTTCCAAAACAGTGGTTTCTTTATGCATTTACGTTTAAAAGATAGTTTTACATTATGTCTTATCTTTATGCGATTCATTCTGCAATAGCAACTGAAATCAGAAACTTTGTTTTTTAGCACGTAATAACAGTATATCACATATGCTTTTTTCAGTTCAAAGGTGATAATAGATTTCGGGATCACGAGTTTAGATTTCTTAATATAGATGTAAACAAAATGTTATAAACTAATATTTAACTTCGAATACGGTGATTTTCCCCGATATTATTGATATTTCACAGATCGCTGACTAACTTTGCATTAATACTTTCATGTGTTCTAGTACTATCGTTAGACTTTGGTAGCAGCAGCGTCGACAATGGTTGTACTAAGTAAATCCAGATGAAATCTCTATCAGATAACAATTGACCCAAAAATATCACGGGTGTTTCCTCGACAAACACGTCTGTTTTCCTTCCTGCGTTTTAATCCATACCATTCATTTTGTTTCAATACGGTATTTTATATATGTACTGGTATTTTTTTTTCTAGTAATACCCGTTAATATAATCCTTCTATCGATGATTAATGTGTGAAACAATAGCATTTTCCTTTTCCGCAAACCATCGAATTATATGACAGGAGAATAGAAAGGCAATAAATCACATAACTACTTAGACATTTCTTTTTAACGATGGTATCTAGAACATATTGTCCTTCATGCAAAAAAAAATGAAATGACCGTGAGCATGTATGGTGTTGAGTGTTGTCTTAGTTTATGGCCATACCAGTTATGTTCGTTTTTCTTTACTGCTTTAGTTGTAGACTTGTGTTTCTATTGTTATTAGGGTACACATGTAGGTAGTTGCTCGTTTGCAATCTCTCATTTTCAATTTACTATTGCTGCTATTATCTAGCTGCAAATACATAGTCCGCAAACAGGAAATGAACAACATGACAAGGGAAGTAACTCTAAACATTGGTGAAGTACCTCTTCATTGCTATTAAAGGTCAAAATAACGAATAAACAAGTGTAAAGTGGTAGATTTACATGAAATATCCAAGTAAAGACTACTTCACAGAAACATCAATTTTGCTGGTCGATTTAATTTAAAAAAGCTTTTGTTTGATATCCTAGATGGCGACATTGAATAGACGCAGAACTGGTAATGCTGTAGCGAATTTTTTCCGGAGAAACCTGCTTGTTATACTTATATTTATGTCAATGCTATTTGGAATCGTACTCGGCTGTGTTTTGAGAACAACGGGGTCACTTGTGGACAGAAGAAATCATTTTTACCTCAAGTTCCCCGGGGACATTATGCTCAACACTCTACGGATGGTGTCTGTGCCTCTTGTTGTCTCCAGTATTGTCTCGTACCACAGTGTGTGGTGTCATCACTGGCACCGTCGCCATTGTTGTTATTTCTATTGGCAAGGAAGCAGCAGAACAACCGGGAAGAATTTCTAATAGCATGAGCCAACTAGATTCCGTTTTGGATATGATCAGGTAAATTCAAAATCAATTTATAATTGAAATGTATCATATTATGCTAAATGACTTTCATATTGTTATATATCATACATGTATCAAAATAAATATAGATATGATATACCCCGGTACGTAACCAGTACATATACCGGAACTGTATTCACAATGGCAGTGATAGTGCCAGACAATATACTTATTATATAATATGGGTTTTGTTACGCTAGCAATACTCTCGCACACTGATACGCTGACCGTCGGAAGTAGCGTTTTCTGTAATACTTAACAGCTCATCATGATAGATACATTATTTGGAATAACACTGTATAAGACTAACGCAAAAAGCTCCCGCGATCAATGTTCTTATTCTCATGATTTCTTTTTCAGAAATGCTCTTCCGGATAATCTGGTGAAAGCAACATTTTCAAAGGTGATGTTTCTAGTATTCATTGGCGGATATTTACGTCTAATATTATCTCTTACTAAACAATAACCGGAAATGCACGTCGAAGATGATAGTGAGGAATTGCTTAATTGTTAGTTTTTGTAATTGTGAGTAAAGTTTCACCAATCTATTTTTCAGAAACAAACCGTGCTTTCTAAACACAATGTGGAGATCGTAAATGATACTGGGTCCGTCATTTTCAACAACACAGAGGACATTGCAGGACGAAATTGGTCAAGTAAGATATATTCACAATCTTATCGTTAATTTAAATATTCGTAGTAAATAGCATTCTTTGCTTCCTCCCTTATTTCTTCCCTGTAAACCATATATAAATATGTAAATCAAACTCTTAAACCAGCAGATTTAGATTTTCCGGAGTAATTTTTAATTTTATAACTCCATCTTCGAGCTTTAAAAATGTGTTTGTCTTAAATGGCTTGTGGTTTTAAATAGAGATATAGAAATTAGCGGTGATAATTGCTTTGCAGTTTAATGAGGCTTAATCAAAGCCGTAGTATGGTAGTACCCGAAATAAAGTCACAATTAATCTTATTTTTTTAATGCAATTTTTAAAAACGTGCATTATATAAATGACAGAATAAGTAAAAAATGTAACAAAATAAATCATCACATAAATAATGCATTGACCCATGATACCGTTTGCTGACTGTAAAAGATATTTTTTTAATAAATTTTCACCAGTGAAATATCAGAAATTATCAGTGTGATAAGATATGCATGCAGTGAAGATATACGAAACGTTACATCTTCACGTGTGATGATGTAAGGTCTAATATCGATTTTTATGAACCGATCAAAATGGCAGTTTCTATTTGTTGCTGCAGATTTTCTATTCAGCTGCAGATGAAGCGACTGTAGAAAAAATGTTGTTTTTTATTTATTATGTTTGGTACATACACTCACTTATAAGCTTTCCTACGTAACTTCAACATTTAGGAAATCAAATCCTACAAGAAAATCAGCAAAAAACGGTAAAATGTTGTTGAGTAGCAGATTACAAAGTTTTACTTAAAAAAAAAGTAATAGATTGAAAATTTAATCATGTCTCCGTTGAATACCATATATATTTTATAATTAAGGTTCACACGTGTGAAAATTATCAGTGTATTCTGCCATACTTATGAAATACATATTGCATTCAACTGAAACCCATTAAATATCCGCTAGTTATTTAATGCCACGAGCACGAACGTACAAACGATTTTTAATGTATATGAAAACACTTTTAAATTTCAGGTAGTTTTATGGCTGTTGAGGTTCCGACGGTTATATCTGTCCCCGGTACCAACATGCTTGGATTAATTGTAGTGTCCGTCTTCCTCGGATGTGTTCTGTCTAGTATGGAGGACAAAGCCAAACCTCTCGTGGACTTCTTTCAATGTATATACCAGGCCATGATGCGGTTAATCTTAATATTTATTTGGTAATAATGATATACACCTGTTGTAGTTTTAAAAACAACCCAGCTGTTAATTCAACAACTGTTTTACTATTTTATTGAATTTATTTTACTTCATTAACGAAATACTTCTCTCTTAAAGGGACATCACGTGAAAAGGCGTTTTTTTTTAATGAATGTATGTATTGTATGCACTTCCACTTATGTTACCTAGCTATCCCCATATTCATAGTCCGTTCCAAATGTCCAGTTTGACCACTTGAATTGTTCGGGAAAGCGCTGCTAAAAATAGCGCCGATAACGTCACCTGACTAGGCAGTAAACACAAGTGGTGCGAGCGAGATGAAACGGTTTCCAAAGGGGCCCCCAGAGAGGGGCCGTCAGGCAACTGCAACTTCTTACCGCACTATGAAACCAAGTTAAATGATTTTTAAGTGACTAGTCCGTATTCAAACTTATTGAACAGTAATTATTCATCATTAGAAGTTAATTGCACACTTGCCAATGTTCAGAATTTAAATTTATTTAGCTTTAAACATAAATGTGTTGGCAATAAAATTAAACAAGGGATGGGGCACAAGTTTTTACAATTTATCACAGCCTTCTCCCGTCATACATTTACAATTAATGTCAACAATGATAATAGGCATAAACATAAAGTAGATATATTTAAATATATATTGAATTTAGTACCGGAATGTGGCCGGTACAGATGTTCGGGGCTAAACACCTTCCCTACACCAAGGGACAAACCTTTCTGATTTTTTTTTTATGTATTGCCGAGGCAGAGGAGGCCGGGTATTCATATTAGTACTAATTAAAATCTTGCATGTAAAAACAAAAATAATCGTTTAATTCAGCAATATAACTAAATCATACCATTTTATTGAACCCGGTAATATTATAAATTATTTAAATCCACGGACTTAGATAACACGTATCTCGGTGACCCAGAAAATACGCCGTGTGCCGTGCGCAACAGTTATCCCTTTGAGGGCCTCATGGCAAAATCAAACTAACCAGTCACTTATCCCTTCCTTTCGCATAAACCACTGTATAATTATAGAAACACAAAGTAAACTCTCTCCAATACATGCCCATTAACATATTAAACTAAGTTCATCTGTGTTCAAACTCAGACAAAGATACTAGCGAGGTTAATAGTTTTAGATATTTATTCATAACATAAACAGCGCTAGCATTTCTGTCGATTCCATTTCAGCTTAACCGGCTATCCGGA